CCACCACCACCACCACCACCTCTGCCTCCTCGTCCACCACGACGATCATCTTTCGGAGGACCATGTCGATCACGATCACGATCTCGATCACGTGGTGAACGTGAACGATCTCTGAAACAACAAATTAATTATATACAATCAGTACTTAAAATTATTTAACAAGATTCCAAAAGAGAAAACAGTTTTTAAAGTGAATATAAAAATATAAAAATTTTTATCAGATTTTCAAAAATAAGAACTATAGAAAATCAAATACTTAAATATAATTTTGCTTAGATCCCATAGAACGATAGAACAAATAATTCTCTACAATATGAGATGTCTTCGAGTTTTCTACATCGTTTTTTTTTCCAATTTCCTATAGAATAACCATTCTTTTTTTTTTATCGCTAATCAAATTACCGTATCTCAGCTAAAAAAAAACATTGCAGAGAACTCGAAGACATCTCATTTTATAGAGAATTATTCACTCGATCGTTCTATGTAGTTTAAACAAAATTATATTTTAGGATATCTCTCAAATGTTTACAACAGCGAAGATAAACCTTGTTGAATGAATTTTGCTCTCAACTGTATATTAGTTTTCGAAATAAAAATAATTAAAATGTACCTATTAAATGATGATGAACGATTAAAACCTCCTCGACTTGGTTTACGAGAATCTCGATCACGATATCGACCTTCATTGTCACGAAGAGATGAATGATCTTAATAGACAAAATGTATATCTTATTGAAAAAAACTAACAAAAGACAAAAATAGTACTATCTGATCGTGTATTTAAATTATCACCATGTTGATGCTCTTTATGTGTTTCTAATGATTTGTTCAGTTCAGGTCCAGGTGGTGGTACACCTAAAATAAATTTTATCTCAAACAATAATTATAGGAAAAATCTAAAAAAATTTACCTGAACCTTCAACTTGTACCGATAAAAGTGACGGCAATGAATTACTACTAGCATTAGCTGTTAAACTTGATTTTTCATTTGCAAAATCAAGTAATGGAGGTGGTACATCTGTTGAACCTTGTTTTGATCCGCCTGAATGACGATAACGATCATCACCTGATGAACTACGACCAGCACCACCTTCTCCTCGTGGAAATGGCATTCGTCCTCGACCTCCACCACGATTATTATCACGATCAAACGATCGTAATTGTTGTTGATCAACATCAAAAAGACTTGGCATTTTCGATTGACCACCATCGCCACCCCCACGTTGTTCATCATAAGATCGATTAAAATTATTATT